TTTTGTTGAACCTGAAGCATCTTATCAAGCTTCTCATTGAGAACTATCTCCTTCCTGTTGTAGTCAAGCTCTTCTTTGGAGTTCCTTGGAGTTCTGTCAAAATCCTCTCCATATTGGCCATCACTTTGGGCCATGTTCTCAACTAGCTCTATATCGTCTTCTACCTCCTTCCTAAGGAAGTTTTCATTGCAAGTAGTGTCTAGAAGGATCATTATCTTAGGGAGTACACCCTGTATAGAGTAGACAACAAGGACTCATTTGAGAAGTCATGGTTAGGGCACTGAACAGTAACCTTTCTCATGCTTCATAAAAGCTCTCCCATAACCTTTGAACAAACCCTGAAATGAGGTTCCTCAATCTTGCAGTTCCTGAAGTAGAGAAGAACTTAGCCAGGAATACTTGCTTTCATTGTTCCAAAGAGGTTAAAAAACCTTGAGGAAGAGTCTTCTCCCACAGATGAGCCTTGTCTCCCAAATAAAATAGGAAGAGCCTTAGCTTGAAACCATCTTCTGATACACCATTAATCTTAGTCATGGAGCATATCCTATCAAATTGATCAAGATGGTCCAAAGGATCCTCCAAGGGTAGGCCATGGAATGTGTTTGCTTGCACCATAGAAATCAGGCATCCCTTTATCTCAAAATTATTGTTGGCCACGGGAAGAGGGATAATATCAAGTCTTGTAGCATGTGTGTTATGGGCATTTCCTGCGCCAATCACCCTTGCTAGTCTTGGAGACTTGAAAAGGCAATCTCAACAATCAAAGAATCCCCAAAGGGCAACGGCGCCAAATTGATACAAGAGTTTTTAGTCTCTTGTGACTAAATATTTTAAGTTCTAAGATCATATCATTGAAGTACTTAAGGTGTCAATCCAATCGGGGACTGAAACAGAGAGAATTAATGGTTTCTAGTAAGCTAAGCCAGTGAAGATATGTTGTAGAAGTATCTAGCAACCTAAGTGAACAATCAAACACGCAAAAGAAAGCATTGAACTAAGATGCATGACAAGTAACTTAGCAATTCAAATTTAAGAAACAGAGGGAAAACAGAGTAAAAACAGAGCAAATGATCAAGCAAATTCAAATTTAGAGAAAGCAGGTATCATAGATCGGGGTTATTGATCCAAGACAATCCTAAGCTTCATATGTGATGTTCAAACAATTAACAATGCATAATCATTTAGCATATAACTCAATTCATATAAATCAATTCAATCTCTTGACAATAATTCCTTTGTTCACATCCTAATCAAGATCTAATTCACATTAGTGAATAGCAATGAAGCATAAAGAAATAGTTCTATTTAGCCAAGATGCTCTCTAATCAACCATTCTCATGTGTAAGGATAAGCAAATCCATTAAAACAATGGTTCATGCATTTAATCAAACACTTTTTATGCAAGATAAACTCTAATATCAGAACCTAAATTATCAACAAAGATTAAGCATTAAGAACACCTAATAATGAAGGATTCAACATTATCTACACCTAAACATCACATCATAAGTCTTGGATCATCCTAGATCTATTCCATCTACAAACCCAGAAATTTACTACTCACTACACATGGCAAAAACTTGGGTAATAAGGCCAGAAAGGATGATCAAAATCAGTATATAGATAGATAATGAAAGCAAATATAAGACTTGATTAAAATTTTAGAGGTTTGCTTAAAAATCCAAAAACTCAGGAAATACATAAGAACTAGAGAGTAAAGGTTTAGAGAGATTGTTTAGATCAGAAAAACTATAATCAATCCTAAAAATAAGATTTGCTTTAAATAGCCAAAGGATTAGGCATTGGTCAATGGTCAAATCTTCGATGTTGACCAAAATCAAAACCAGAGAAAAAAAAGGAAGGAGGTCAGTCCGGGCAATTCTGCAGTGCAACACGTCGTGTGGGTTGGAGAAAGTCAGTGTGGGTCGCCAGTGCAGACTGGTGAAACTTGCTGCCTCTTGCATCGAGGTGTGTACGTCGGGGTAAGTGCTCAGTGTGATCTTCAGGTTCCTTCACTCTGAGGTAGTCTAGCTGGGGTGACATGCCGGTGTACTCCTCCAAGAATTTTTGGTCGTCCTGCTCCGAGGTGTGTAGCTGGTGCAGCTGCCCGGTGTAAGCCCTCTCATATGCTTTGCTTCCCTGAAGCTCTCCTCCATGCATCCACTCCAACTTCAGTTGATTGCAAGCCTCCTTAGCCTCTATAACACCTAGAGAACACCTTCAAAATGCAACAAAACATGCAATGCATATTTAGACACAAGCTAACTCTAATATGAATGCAAAGGGGACCTAAAATATGGATTTATGCATGAAAGACACCTAAAAACATATGATTATGCATGTCTAAATGATGTAAATATGTAAGATATCAATAGGCAGCCACGTATTTGATTAAAATAACTCCATCAGTCTTGCTCAACCACAAAACTCCATACAAACTGCTTTACATATCGCCTCCTACTCCGAGGTGTACTCCTCCAAGAATTGTTGGCCGTCCTGCTCCGAGGTGTGTAGCTGGTGCAGCTGCCCGGTGTAAGCCCTCTCATATGCTTTGCTTCTCTGAAGCTCTCCTCCATGCATCCACTCCAACTTCAGTTGATTGCAAGCCTTCTTAGCCTCTATAACACCTAGAGAACACCTTCAAAATGCAACAAAACATACAATGCATATTTAGACACAAGCTAACTCTAATATGAATGCAAAGGGGACCTAAAATATGGATTTATGCATGAAAGACACCTAAAAACATATGATTATGTATGTCTAAATAATGTAAATATGCAAGATATCAATAGGCAGCCACGTATTTGATTAAAATAACTCCATCAGTCTTGCTCAACCACAAAACTCCATACAAACTGCTTTACATATCGCCTCCTACTATGAGAATCTTCACATGTGTGGTACACTTTGCTCAATAGAGAAAAGAATAAGTTTGATGATAGAAATACGAAATGTGTCTTCCTTGGCGATCCAATGAGAAGGAAAGGATGGCTTGTTTGTGATTTACAAACGTTGAAGTTGTTTGTCTCCCAAGATGTCGTATTCAATGAAGACATTTACCATGATGTTAAGATGAAATCTATATAGCCATTGATGGAGGTATTAATTACTGGACTCGTCTGAGTGTCTTCCGGCAGAATTTGATGACCTTCCATTAGTATCAAAGCCAAGGGAAGTCATTCCAGAGCAAGGGGGAGTTGTTGCTTTGGATTTGGCACCTGCACCTGATTATTTTTCTGATTTTGCTGCTTAACCTGCAACTGATAATGATAGCAATACTGGTGACCCTCTCAGTAGAGGCATGACAGTTAAGAAGATACTTGTTCTGCTTACTCCATATGTTACAGTCTTAAGGTTCACGTCGGTATACCTTAATTACGTACAATACTTGTCATTTTTTGTCTTCTTTGATACATATGTTTTCAGCGGCCATAACTGTTTACATTGAACCAACTACACCAAAGAGACCTTAAGTATTTCGTATGGACATGCACAATAAACTGAGGTTGTTGCTCATAAAGACAGCAACACTTGGGACACTACATTACTTCCTTCTGGTATACATGTGATTAGATACAAATGGGTGTTTAAAATAAAATTCAATTATGATAGAACCATGGACCGATACAAGGCTCGGCTTGTGAAAGGGGATCGATTATAATAAAACTTTTTCACTACTTGTTAAGATGAGTATGGTGCGTATTGTGTTTGAGGTTACAATAGCTAAAAATTGAGAGCTCTTTCAAATGGACTTCCATAATTCGTTCTTACATGGTGATTTGGAGAAAAAGGTTTACATGATGCTGCCTGGTTTCTCTTCACCGGTAACAGAGTTTGTAGACGTAATAAGTTCATATGTGGTTTTCGACAGGCTTCCAGATGTTGTCTCTCTAAGCTTTATTTGATTTTGGTTACAAAAATAATCAAAAAGATTATTTCTTGTGCACATTGCGGCTCTGCAAGAATTTTAACAAAATATGAACTGCATAACTTATCTCAGGTTTCGTAATATCCAAGTAAACCAAACGTAATATTTGAAGTGTGCTCTTGGTTGTGGAATACTCTTGAGCTCGAAGAATAACCTTATGATTTTTGCTTATTGCGGCTCTAGCTGGGCGGCGTGTTCATTAACCAGCCAACCTCTGACAGGTTACATTGTTATGCTTGGTTAATCTGTTTTTGTATTGAAGACTAATAACAATACACAGTTTTGCACTCTTCAGCTGAGGCAGAATATTATGCGATGGCGATGACTTTAGTGAACTCAAATGGACGAAAGAGTTGCTTGCTGCATTTGGTTTTCATCAAAATGATCTCAAATATCTGTATTGCAATAGTAAAATGGCAATTCACGTATCTATTAATCTGATGTTTAACGAACGTACGAAGTATATTAAAACCAATTGTCATTTTATTCGATATGGTACAATATATTAAAACTAATTGTTATTTTATTCGAGATGGTACAAAATGGTTCGCTTATTACTTCAGACATCAAGAATTCTGATCAATTGGATAACATCCTTACTAAGCCTTTTGTTATACAACAATTCATATACTTATTTGACAGATTAAGCGTTTGAGACTTAAATGTTCTACATTGACAGAAAATATTGGGATAAGTATAAGACAATTATATTGTGATAATGATAAAATATTTTAGATAACCTTTAAGTTAAAGATTCATATTGGGATATAAGTACAAAACAGTTATGTTATGGTTGTATAAAATAATTGTACTCTTGATGAATAATATTAAGAATTCAGATATCTTGGCATATTGTTTGTTTGTGCTTCTATTTCATGGAAATAGCGAATGTTTAACGAATTTTTCTGAAAAAACAAAAAAGAAACAAGTTATCTTGATAATTATTAGGTGCCTCTACCCATGTGTAAGTATCTATCAGTTAATAATTAACATCTTAATTCCTTGTGAAATTAATAATTAACATCTTAATTGCTACAGCTCGCGGGTTTGGCCCAATTAGGCCCAATGCGGGGCGGGCTTGGGCCTAATAATATGAAACCATAAATTGGCGGGTCTCGCGGTTTCGACCCGAGCGGTTTATGGATTTAGCGGGCCGACCCGATGCGGATTAGCGGGTTCTCGGGCTGAACCGCCTAAATTGGTTATATGTTCTTCATTTCTAAAACTTCATCGCTTTCGTGTTCTGACCATTAAATTCTGAAAAAAATAAATTCAGAGGAGTCAATTAGGCAGTTTACATCATTTGGATCTCAGATTCTGATCACTTTCGAAAGTTTCGATGCATTGTGCATGCTTGATGCAGCCTCTAGGGCGTTGATTCGGGAGCTCGGTTTATCGGTGTTTGAATTTTCGAGTTGGCAACCTCCAGAATCCGGATCATCATCCGCTGAATTTGGAGCTCGGTTAGTAAACTCATTTTCTGCCATGTTAGGCTTTTGCCCATCGAATTTTGTCTCTCTACGTATGTTGTCAAAAAATCTGAAATTTTGAATCATAAATTTGTGACTTTTGAATCTTTATCTGTAACAATTAAGATGTTAATTATTAATTTCATATTGATAATTTGTAATGTTGAGCTGTGATTGATGAATTCTCTTTGTTTTTTTTGGGAGGTGATATTCTCTTAGTTACTAGCCATAGCGGAGTTATAACTTTGGTTTAGATCAGGGGCGGACACAGGAAATAATTTTATATGAGGCACAATTTATTTAAATATTATATATAAATAATTAATATAAATTATAATTATAAAAAATAGTAAACACATTATTAGAGTTTAATATTTTAATTTTTAAAATTTTAAATTTGAACTAAATTAAAAAGTATATTTTTATTTTTGGTAAAAACTAACATAATTGTATATTTTACATAACAATTGTTTTTAAGCAAACAATATTTTTGTTTTTAAGATTATTATATATATATATATATATATTAAAAATAATTAAAAAGTATTAAAAAAAATTGAAAATCTAACTAAACTAATCATCATAAAAGCGCTATGTATCACATGAGGAACAAGAATAATTATTTTCTAGTAGAGAAAGAAAATAAAAAAACAAATAAAAATAATAGGTAGTAGTCATATGGGTCTAATTCTGGTTGAGAAATATTAAAGTGTACCAGAAAACCAACTCATCTACATGCATTTTATATACTCATTGTAACAAACAATTTTAAATATTTAGTATGGGACACGTGCCCCACTATTTACAACGTGGGTCCGCCCCTGATTTAGATTAACTGGGTTTCTCTTCAATTATGCAATTCGGAATTTCGTTGAGATGATTTTGAAACTTTTGGTTTTGAAATAATGTATGTCCTTCCTTTTGTTTTGTTGTTAGACGAAATGTATGTTCTCTCTGCAAAGAACAAACGTGTTTCGATTCAGCTTTTGAGAGGAGACACGATCCATGATAAGTTTATTCGGTTTGAGGAGCTCCTCTTCCTTATCTTGGCGTTAGCTCTCTTGGAGCTTCCTCTGATTTGGGTTCAATTCTACCAAGTAAGATTCCATCTACTTTCAGCCCTGCCACTATGAAAACATTCGTGTGACTCTTTCTCTTGCTCAATACATTTAAATAAAAAAATATTACTTATTTCATTTGCGTCCTCTGTTCCAGATTTGAAACTGCTAGACTTAACTGGAAACTTGATTTTTGACTAGGTGGTATGCTTGGCTGTTCTTTATCATTGCTTGTCATATGAAGACTAGATTTTATCCAGCATTGGGAACATTGCTGAAAGATATCCATATATTTATCCTTTGTGATTGATCGAATGTTGAGATTGTGGCGTTTGTTGTTTTTTATGATTATCGAATGTTGAGATTGTGTTTTTATAATCGATGTTTTCATTAGAATGTTCGTTTTAGGTTTTATGAATGTTTTTAATATAAAATTCTCATCAAAACAAGTATACAAACTGAAACAATAAATAGATTTGTACTAATTTATGAAGTAAAATCGAATTTAAAAAATGTTTGTAACAAAACCCGTTGGCTATCCCGCTGACTCATAAATATATGCAGGTTGGGTTTGGGCTATGCAATTATAGACCGCAACCCGCACGGGCTAGCCCGCCAAACTCAAAAAAAAATCTGAAACCACGTTGGGTTGGACTATTTGGGCTCGGATCAGCCCGTTTGACATCTCTATATCTATCCAAAATAAAAACTTATTCGACATTTATTATACTTCTAAAACAGATTTATTTAAACAATTTTTTGCTTTGTCTCTTTTTGATTATATTAATTTAATTTCAGTTCATGTATCTTCGTTGGGATAAAAGAAAAAAGAAACATGGTGTAATGCCAACACGTTCCTGTTATTAGATAAAGATACCATATGCACATAAACCTCGACAAGAACTAAAAAAATATCTAGGCTTTTAGGAATAAAAAAAACATTATATTACAAACGCCGTTAAACTTGTATGATATCCGAAGTTATATTCGTTGGAACGTATTAAAGTTCCTTCATGGATAAGACCCTTCAACTATTCACTAAACAAATAGTTGACTCAACTTCTTGAATTAATTACACTTGCCTGCAATCGTGATCGTGTGAAAGCTTCTGTTCAGTGGACGGCTAAAACAATGCATAATAAAAATTAAAATCAGAAAACCAACTTATATATAGGTTCAGAAAATCGAAACAAAACCTGAATTTTCGATAAGAGATCGAATAGTTAATATTCCTTGTTATTTTTTCTTTTTGGGGAAAATGTATTTAGAATATGCTTTACTTTTGAAGCAAAACATGCCTTATATGCATAATATGGCTATTTGTATTGGAGAGTTCGAGACTTTAATCATATTTACAACTTTTGTGTGAGTTGCAAAAATATGAATTATATACCATTGAACTCCAGCTACCACTTCCATTTCTTGAAAGTTAATGAAAGAACGTTGCTTTAAGTATTATCAAATGGCACCCCATATAATATGTAAGTAGGATCATCATATATTGATGTTGTTTTTAAATAATATTGAATATTAATATAAAAATACTATGAACCTGAATAAGGATTAATATATCAAATCAAATTACTAGTTTTTTAAATTGCGTATAACTCTATATCGCTGTTAAATTATAAAGTTGTATCTGTTATTTGTTGATATATAAAAGGCTAAATAAAAAGTCTGCTCGTATGTAACAGTTGACAGATAAATAATCTTATCAATTGATTCTGCAAAACTTGGCCTGAGCATAAGGCTAAGGGTCATATTAAAATTCAGAAGAATGAGTTTACTAATACTACTACCCTTCAAGAAACCATGTAAGCCCTTTTTATAAAAAAAAAAAAAAGAAACCATGTAGGAGACAAAAGCCTCAAGCACCAAACTTGAACCTAGACGTTATGATGGCTACATACATTTTATCCGACCTGGCGACATCTTTTCAGATTCTAGTGCCCATGTTTCACAACTTCATTGGCCGAGAATCAGTTCGATGAGTGCAAGTACTCTAATAAAAATCCAAGTCAACCTCTTTTTATGTTTCCAAATGCACATAAGTTGTATTATTTATAAAAAGAAGCGTACGTTGCCGAAGGAGTTTTTTCCAACAATAGATAAAAAAAAAAAAGATATACATTTATATATTTCAGTTGCTAGATATTTTTTAAATAAAATTTAATTTAAGATTTTATTAGTAATAGCACAAAATAACCATTCTTTATTTTTTTATATTAGCAAAATTGGCATCTAACAATTTTGTAAAGGTATTGATGCATTTAGTACACACGACTTTAGAAATAGTGTGGATTTCGCATGTGTTCTTAAAATATATTATAGTTTTATCTATTAACACCTACTACTTATGCATAATATTACATTTATTTTTAAAAATACAGGTGGTCAAAATGCTCGATATAATTTCTAAACAACACCATGTACTTTTTGTTTTAAATTTGGCTTTGCACACTTTTATCTACCAAATAAGTTCTTTTCTAAGACAATTTATGAAGTTCACATCCAATAATTTATTTTCGGCTTAAAAGTGCAGTTCATCTAACAAGTGCAAACTAAAGGGTTCCCAGAATTCACATCTTATATCTGGGTCATGAAACTTTTTCTTCAATTATCCAAGAAGCAATAAAATGAATGAGATGTTTTAGCGAATATATATTCAACGAGTACACGAGTGTATAGTGTACAGCTGTAATTGATTTATTTGATTTAGGGAATATGATCGTAAAATATTTAACAATTAGATTCGGTTGGATCAGATAATTTTAGTTTAGACCTAAGAAAATTTGTGTATTGTATATACATATAATTGGGGTTTTCATGTAAATCTTTTGTAACTCCGGGTATATTTGATCAGAAAAAGTTCTAACTAAAATATCTTTATAATATTATTTGAGGAGTACATTTTTTAAGATACTTTAAAAACATCATTATTTACAATTCAAGCCATTAACTTAATGACTTAAATCTGTTTGGCAACATATTTATTTATGGATAAAACAGGCCAGTTGATTGAGTTAACTCAGTTTAAAGGTTTTACCTGAGAAATGTAAAAAAATCCGACTCATCGTCAACTCTTCAAAATATGCGGATCCTTCTTTTTCATTTAAAACAAACTGGATCTCCTGTAGCCGGGTTGGACAATGGGCTATGAACTTTTTCATCAGTTTTCAAATATGAAAAACGATTTTATTAGTTTACGAGATCTGAATATAATCTAGAAAATATTGAATGTACAGGACAATAACCTAACAAGATACTGAAAATATTGACTTTAACTAATCTGTTACCATCACCGTCATCAATTAATTCGAACCAACTCATAATAGTATTAGCTTCATATAATAAGCATGTAAATATTTGCAAAAAGATAACGAAAGCTAAACTAGATTACTAAATAAATCTAGACACATAATCTTCACATAACATTCACACCTTCAATCTACTATCTTCGCCTCTCTTTCAAAATGACATTTAATGTTCATGTTACTTTGATTAAAAATATTAAGCCTTTTAAATCTTGGAGGATTCAAGTGAAAATCATAACATATGGAAGCGGTTGCTTTCGCATCAGGAGAATTTCTTAAGATGGTTTTAGTCGACCCAGAAGTATAACTTGATATTCATGCATAATATATTCTTTGAACAAAAATTTATAAACATCTAATACACTCTCAATATTTTTTAAACAGGTGACCAAAATTCATGTTTTTGTCAAAAAATAACACCTTAAGCGCTATGAGAAGCATCTATCCTCAGGAAACTGGAAATTCATTGAAGAATTCAATGTTGGCCAGTCAATCGGTCTATACAGGACTACCAAACATTGTTGCCGTATTAATTTCATAAAAGAAACTATCGTCACTAACTCTGGAACATTATCGAATAACCAATTCTTGGATTTGGCCAGTTTGAGCTCGAAGAATACCAACTCCCTTAAGACCTTTGAAATCAAATGTGATGTTACTGGTGTAGTTATTGGGGCAGTACTGATACAAGAGAATAAACACATTGCTTATTTCAGTGAGAAACTAGGAGGAGCCACCTAGAACTATCCAACATACGATAAGGAGCTCTATACTTTAGTCTGCGCTTTGCAAACATGGCAGCACTATCATTGGCCAAAAGTGTTTGTGATTCACACTGATCTTGAGTCTTTGAAACACTTGAAGGGCCAACAAAGCTGAACAAATATCATGCACGTTGGGTAGAGTCCAGTGAGACATTCCCTTATGTCACTAGTATAAGCAATGTAAGGAAAATGTTGTTGCCGATGTTTTGTCAAAAAGGTATGCTCTCATTTCTACTCTTGATTCTAAGTTGTTAGGATTTGAAAAACTTAAGAAAATGTATGACACTGATACTGAGTTTGAAGAAGAGTTTCAAACTTGTGAAAAGTATGTTCATATAAAATATTTTAGGCATGAAGGGTTTTTGTTCTATGAAAATCGTTTGTGTGTGCCTAATTGCTCTTGAGAGATTTACTTGTTAGAGAAACTCATGGAGGAGGTCTAATGGGATATTTTGGATTTGTCAAAACACTAAGTGTTATGCAGGATCATTTCTACTAGCCGCACATGAAGAGAGATGTGGAAAGGATTTGAGGTAGATGTGTCACTTGAAAACAAGCTAAGTCTAAAGTGCAGCCTCACTATATGTATACTCCTTTACCCAGTCCTACTGAGCCTTGGACTGGTATATCTATGGATTGTGTACTTGGTTTGCCAATGACTAGGAAAGGGAGAGATTCTATCTTTGTTTTGGTAGATAGATTTTCTAAAATGACGCATTTTATACCATGTCATAAAACTAATGATGCATCACTTGTAGCTGAGTAGTTCTTTAGAGAAGTTGTTCGTTTGCATGGAATGCCAAGGACAATTGTATCTAATAGAAACATTAAGTTCTTAAGCTATTTCTGGAAAACTTTGTGGTATAAGTTAGGGACTAAGTTGTTGTTTTCAACTATTTGTCATCCACAAACTGATGATCAAACTGAAGTAGTGAATATGACTTTGTCTACACTGTTGCGCGTAGTCATTAAAAAGAACATCAAAACTTAGGAAGATTATTTGCCACATGTTGAGTTTGCATTTAATGATTCAGTTAATTCTGCTACCAAGTATTCACTTGTTCAGATTGTCTATGGTCTCAATCCTCTAACTCTTTTGGATCTAATTCCTTTACCTTTAAGTGAAAGAGTTAGTATGGGTGGGAAAAAGAAAGTTGAACTTGTAAAGGAAATTCATGAGAAGGCACGCCTCAACATTGAAGCAAAGACAAAGAAATATGAGAAGCAAGCAAACAAAAACAGGCGCAAAGTAGTCTTTGAAGTTAGAGATTTTGTTTTGGTGAACTTGAGAAAAGAACGTTTTCCAGCAGAAAGAAAGTCTAATCTCATGCCAAGG